GCACAATGAACTGATCTGTTGCATGTGTATAAGTGTCTTGGTGTGAAAATCTAATAAACTGTATGGCAAGAATTGTACGAAGTGTTTTTGGGTCATCATCTTCTCCTAAGTGTTCACTGTGTAGAACACTGTGTGCAAGGCTTGTACGGAAGAGTATAGCCTATCCTTACCCAGGCATAAGAGGAGTGATAATCAATACAAAATTAATAAGGTTAGTTTTCTTACTGTTTATTAACTTTGCTTTCAAGGAATTATGATACCATATACTGCTCTCTCTAAGTAATTGGAGAAACTGCCTGTCAGCCTATCATCACAGGTGAATGTTTTGTTTTGTTCTTTAAAGTAACATTATGTTTCCAAATACTGTATTATGAATCTGACTGTAATAGTGTCTGCCATAAAAATTTTATAATGATTCATTTATTAGTGTATCAATTAGGCTACTATGAGGCAATCGTATCGATTACACGAGGCCACCATAAAACAATCATACTGCTGCTTCTTCATTATCAACTCGTGACTTGTTACACTTGCAAATAAATACAAATTGCTTTTTTACACTGTATTTTCATTTTTAATGCCTAGTGTTAATAATATGTATAAAATCTACAGTGTTTTGCATCATATAAGACAATATAGCTGTAAGTTCTGAAAATTCATTTTGTGAGGAATCTAAAATAGTCAAGTTCACAGAAGCAGAGAGGCAGAATGGTGGTTGTAGGAGGGAGGGGAAAGGGAAAATGAGGAGATTTTAGTTAAAGGTACACAGTTTCAGGTATACAAGATGCCTAAGTGCTAGCAATCTACTGCAAAGCATAGTACCTATAGTTAACAATACTGTACCATATGTTTAAAAATTTGCTAAGAGGGTAGATCTTATGTTAAGTGCTCTTATCATACACACGCATAGTAATAAATAAAGAGGGTGAGAGGAAACTTTTGGAGGTGACAGATACGCTAACAGTATAGACTGTGGTTATAGTTTTGCGGATGTATACTCATCCCCAAGCATATCAAGCCTGTAATACATTAAATGTATGCCAATTATACCTCAATAAAATGTTTTAAAAAGTTACTATATGAGGACACCAAGTAGAGGAACCAATAGTGAAAGAGCATGTGAAACATAATACAATTGTCTTAGAAAAAAAATCCATCAAGAAAATGTTTATCTTGTATATCTTAATCCATGGTTGCAAAGATCAAATGAGATAATGTAAGAAAATTCTGTTAAGTGCTCTTCTATGATGATTTTAATGATAAAGAAGAGCTAAATAACAGTTACTATCTAACATATGTAATATATATAAAATTCATAGAACACAAACTTATAAGCAGGGTATATACTGTTCAGGCAGACAGCATTCTCTAAGAGGTAATCTCTATCCCTCTTCTTATTAAAAATATCATCAGAAATAGTGACAGAAATTCCTAAAAAAAACCAAAAAACAAAAAACACACCACACACATACACCACACACACACACACACACACCTTTTCTTTTTTTTTTTTTTCAACGTTTATTTTATTTTTGGGACAGAGAGAGACAGAGCATGAACAGGGGAGGGGCAGAGAGAGAGGGAGACACAGAATCGGAAACAGGCTCCAGGCTCTGAGCCATCAGCCCAGAGCCCGACGCGGGGCTCGAACTCACGGACCTCGAGATCGTGACCTGGCTGAAGTCGGACGCTTAACCGACTGCGCCACCCAGGCGCCCCAACACACACACCTTTTCAAAAGATAAAGCTTAAGGTTTTCCAGTCAGAAGAGTATGGTAACAATCACTCTATAAAAGTCAAGTGCAGAGGACATGAATCTTTCACAGTTGTTATTACTGATTATTACACAATATATTGTTAACAATAAATAAGTAATCATTTAGTAATTATTTACTAATTAGTAATTATGCATTTGGTATTCAGATGTAAAAAGTTGTGTTCACATATATAACAAGATAATTAGAATAACCAGTCATAGGCACTATTGTCCCCACGTTAAAGGTAAGAAAAGGTAAGAAAACCTTAACAAAGGTTAAGTGGCTTTACCAAGGTCACTCAATTAGTAAGTAGAAGAGCTGGGACTGCAGCTCTAACTCCAAACTCTCCTTTGTATCTCTGAATTACTTTTATTTTATTTATTTATTTTATTTTTATTTTTTAATGTTTATTTATTTTTGAGAGAGAGACAGAGCATGCGCAGGAAGGGGCAGAGAGAGGGGGAGACAGAATCTGAAGCAGGCTCCGGGCTCTGAGCTGTCAGCACAGAGCCCAATGTGGGGCTCAAACTCACAAGCTGTGAGATCATGATCTGAGCTGAAGTTGGCTGCTTAACTAACTGAGCTACCCAGGCATTCCTCTGTGCTACTTTCAGAGACAGGTTCCAAAACATGTATATCAATGAGGCACAGACTCATAGAGGCCTGACCTCTCCCTAGATACTCTTCCCTATTCTCACTGTTTTATTACCTGGGAAATAGGAAAAATAAAGACAGTGATTCTGTCTTCTCCAAAAGACTAGAAAACAGGCAGAAACCCAAACTGGGACCTGTCTACCTAAGGAACTGTGCTATCATGGGTTGACAATAAGGATGTGAAAGTCCCAGGTTTGTGAACACCTAAATCTAAAAATTAATTTTTTTCTCACTAAAGAAGATGGAAATATAAACTTAATGAAATAATGAAATTATTAGAATGCTAAGCAAAAACCATTTTAAATGATCTTGGATTAAAGAGGAATCTGTCAGTCCATATGAAAATCACTGCAGGCCTCTACTTTCACTAAAAATATTTTCATGTTCACTGTTCTTAAAGTTCTTATGTAGCTAAAGGTCTAAAAAATTCTGTTATCTGCACCTCAGTGTGCAAACTTCTGGCATATAATTTCTATATAATTCTCAAAGCTCTGTATATGTGGTAGATGGCTATCAATCAGTATGCAGATATTTAAGCCATAATAAATACACTAAGACATGGGGTGCCTGGGTGGCGCAGTCGGTTAAGCGTCCGACTTCAGCCAGGTCACGATCTCGTGGTCCGTGAGTTCGAGCCCCGCATCAGGCTCTGGGCTGATGGCTCAGAGCCTGGAGCCTGTTTCACATTCTGTGTCTCCCTCTCTCTCTGCCCCTCCCCCGTTCATGCTCTGTCTCTCTCTGTCCCAAAAATAAATAAACGATGAAAAAAAAATTTTTTTTTTAATTTTAAAAATAAATAAATAAATAAATAAATACACTAAGACAAAGCAGGGACGCAAACAGACTAAGCCTTACCTATTAATTTAGCAACTAAAAAAATCTATTTCTGCATTCTAATCAGATCTTCAGTATAATTATTTTCCCTTCTCCATTGCATTTGCACAATATCTTATTAGAGGAAATAAAAATTATATATTTTTGGTAACAAAGTGTACTACAGTTACCTGGAAGAAATATATCTATTATCAATTACCCGGAATGTATAGTTAAGAACTAAGAAATAAAATAAGAACTGAGTTTTTCATAGAAAATATACTTAAACTCATCCATTTTTACTTCCAAGAGTTTATTTCTTAGATCTTCAAAGTAAGTTTTAATTTTGATACTGGTTACAAGCAAAATCCTAGTAAGCTAAATAATATTTGCTTTCCTAACTATAACAGGTCGGGAAGAGCAAATTGTAAGAAGAAATAGTTTTCTAACACCAGGTACATACAACAATAAGGAATGACAGCCAACAATAAGGCAAGGACAGAAAGTTTTTTCAGTTTTAGACTGAAGAACTCACATGTGGGGTAAAACTTCAACTGTTGGGAACAATGAATTATGACCACCACTACTTTACTGATGGTAAAACAAAGCCACAGAGGTTTGTTTACACAAGCTAACTTTGTCAATTATAGTTAGTCATTTTTTGAGCAAGAGATGGAGCTTTTTTTTTTTTTTAATGTTTATTTATTTTTGAGAGAGAGAAAGTCTGAGAGTGAGCAGGGGAGGGGCAGAGAGAGAGGGAAACAGAGAATCCAAAGCAGGCTCCAGGCTCCGAGCTGTCAGAACAGAGCCCAATGTGGGACTTGAACTCACGGATCGTGAGATCATGACCTAAGCTGAAGTCAGATGCTTAACTGACTGAGCCACCCAGGAGCCCCTTATATTATCTAAATAAAAGAAAAGGATGGGGCGCCTGGCTGGCTCAGTTGGTTGAGCGTCCGACTTTGGCTTGGGTCATGATCTCCCGGTTTGTGAGTTCGAGCCCCGTGTCAGGCTCTGTGCTGACAGCTCAGAGCCTGGAGCCTGCTTCCGATTCCGTGTCTCCCTCTCTTTCTGCCCCTCCCCCGCTCATGATCTATCTCTCTCTCTCTGTCAAAAATAAATAAAACATTAAAAAAAATTTTTAAATAAAAGTAAAGGAATACCAAATAACCTTGAGATTATTGTGGTTAGAGTATAAAGAAGGGATAAAGGTGAAGGGTAACTTAATTTTTTTTTACACGGTCAAGGTTTAATGTGGAAACTGCTATAGAAATTATGATAGACACTGAATTCAAAGCATGATTATTTCATCACATCTATATATGGTATTTTTCAGATTCTGTGACACTTAATCCATCCTAAACCTAAACAAGAAAATACAATTTCTAGATTTCATCCTTTATTACTTAATATAATGGGTATGCAGAATTTCTCTGATTATTTACATAAAAGTAAATAATGTCTGCTACAAATAAAAAACAGGTATTGTCAAAAGAGTAGAATTTCATTATCATGTACAGATTGGACTGCAGCAAGATAGAAGTGAAAACTTCATCCACTGGTTTTCTCCCACCACTACTTACACTTAACAACAGACCATCTCCTGACATTCCAAGCAGATGGAAATATCTTGTAGTCATAGCTCTGCTTCAGTAATGAAATCACAATCTAAATGCCTATCTGAAGAACTAAATATTTTTGTATACTGAGTAATAAAGAAAAGCAGCAAATATACGTGAAATTACTTCAGTAACAGGTAAAGATTTAACAACTTACTTTGCATCTTAGTCCTTATTCTTGTGGATTGTTCAAACCATTCCTGAGGTTTTTTTTGATATCCCGAGCCTAAAGCAAATGCATACACCAAGATATCATTTCAATATTTTGAAAACGTATACCATACTCCTGTTACAAGGTAAATTTATCAGAAAGGTAAAACAAAGTTGGGGAAGAAAACAATAAAAGCAATAGGTTCAGAAGTAAAAGGTAATGTCAAAGGATCACACCAGTGAAGGATGAACCACTTCCTATAGCAAAATAGACAGCAAATAAATATATAATCACCTAACAGACAAAACTAGGTACCAATCCTTTGTTCTGGTCTATGAGAATGACTGAGTTCAATAATACATGAACTTGGTTTCAATGTATTTAAGAAGAAAAAAGTTAACCATTCACTCTTGCAAATAAGTTACTTTAGGTAAAATAATCCTGAACACATTTCCACATCACAGAGTAATTATACACATTTGAAACTAATGTGTGGTGGATTAAAAGGCAAAGAGGCTAAAATGACTTAAAATCCTATTCAAACGTTTTGTTGGCAGAATAAGACAAGGTCAGAATTGCTTGACTGATAAAAGAACAGACGACCAACCACTTACTTAGCACTGAAGGTTGCTTATCAAGAGTTATGAAGTCTCGACCTATAACAGAAAACAGAGATAAGGTCATGGAATACTTGAAAATAAGAACAATGAAAATATTGCATAGACATTATACTTGTATACTATGGATACTATAAACCAAAAAATCACCACAAAAATCAAACCTTTCTTTCATCAGTCCCAAACATATATACTATATTCATTGTTTTCCCTTTTCTAAGCATCAAAGTGTTCAGGAATTGGATAATAAGTCAACTTTAAAATCAATACCATCAAAATAATGGCAGCACATACTAAATGTCAGGTATCAAGCATAATTTTACTTAATGCTCACACTTTATGTGGTCAGCACCATTATTCCCATTTTACAAATATATGGAATATATATATACATATATATACATACATATGTATATACATAATATATAGAAATAGTATATATATGTAATATGGAAGTAGTAAAGCTCAGATACAAACCCACGCAGTCCATATATGTTATGCTATATACTGGTGTATATGGCATATACTATATAAGCAATTTTGTGGACATTGCAAAGTAGTTATGAAGTGAAAGTTATGAAGTAAAAAAAGTAGTTACTTTTTTGTTTTGGGATGGTATTTAAGGACAAATGGGATGATTAGAAATGATATTTCAAACAATTATAACAAGGGAAATTTCTAAATCTGTTCTGAAGAAATGAGTTATTTCTACCCAATGATACAAGTATTATTGTAAATTTTTCAAATTTATTTTTTCTAAATACAAATGTAATATATATATGCTAACTGTAAAAGAAATATAACATTCTGAATTTTTTTAATGTTTATTTATTTTTGAGAGAGAGAGAGACAGAGCATGAAGTAGGCAGGGGCAGAGGGAGAGAGGGAGACACAAAATCCAAAGAAGGCTCCAGGCTCTGAGCTCTCAGCATAAAGCCTGTTGTGGGCTCGAACTCACAGACCACGAGATCATAACCTGAGCTGAAGTTGGACACTTAACCGACTGAGCCACCCAGGTGCCCCAAGAAATAGAACATTCTAGAAATGTGTAACTTAAAAATTCATAAATATCTACTAAGTGACTACTACACACAGGAATACCATGTCGAATAAGACATATGAATATTCTTCCAGATTTGTTTTCAGTCTATCCCAACAAAAGAAAAACAGTAGACCTGTTTTTTAACATGTCTTTCATTGATTTGAAAAAGTAGGCTTCATGCCCAGTGTGGAAGCAAACCTGGGGCTTGAACCCACAACCCTGAGATAAAGACCTGAGCTGAAGTCAAGAGTCAGACGCTTAACTGACTGAGCCACCCAGGAGCCCCAAGGAGTAGTTTAAAAAAAACACCTCTGATGTAGGGCTGTATCTTATAACCAATCAAGGGTATATCATAGTTTAACTGGATGATTTTTCTTTTTCAGTTATACAAAAAATAATGGCATCTTAAATTCAAGGATATATACCTCGATCACCTATTCATTAGTATACAAAGTATTCACTTTTCATAATTGTATGCATGTAGCATAATTTATATAGAGAGATACATTTAAGAGCTTCCAAATATCAAAGATTTAGAATAACAAAGGGCAAACATATAAGATGATTCAGCAAGTAATTTTCCACAAATGATTTTTTTAATTTTTTGTTTTTATGTTTTATTCTCTTTGTTGAGAGACAGAGAGTGAGCAGGGGAGGGGTAGAGAGAGAGGGAGAGAGAATCCAAAACAGCAGGCTCCAGGCTGCCAGCACAGAGCCCAAAGCAGGGCTCGAACCCATGAACGTGAGCTCATGACCTGAGACAAAGTGGGATGCTCAATTGACTGAGCCACCCAGGTACCCCACAAAGGACTTATTTTTGTGTCTCAGTGGCTTTTATTTTATCTCAGTTTTATCCCAGAACCTGCTAAAAACTAAATATATATAATGTGAAATATGTGGAATTGTATAAATACAATGATTAATAAAACAGATTTACAAAGACTTTTTCTTTAAAAACAGTTTCATGTTTCAAGAAAGGTGATGTGGAAGGAAAAAAAAAAAGTCCTTGAAGATTTTACATACAAGGATATTTTAGACTGATTAATAATTAACTCAAATTCTGGGACTTAACTAAACATGGGAAAGAGGGGCACCTGGGTGGCTCAGTTGGTTGGGTGACCGTCTTTGGCTCAGGTCATGATCTCACGGTTCGTGGGTTCGAGCCCTGCGTCAGGCTCTGTGCTGATGGCTTGGAGCCTGGAGCCTGCTTCGGATTCTGTGTCTCCCCCTCTCTCTGCCCCTCCCCTGCTCATGCTCTGTGTCTGTCTCTCAATAATAAATAAATGTTAAAAAAAAATTAAAAAAATAAATAAACATGGGAAAGAAACAGCATCATTTCTGCTTAACCTAAGAAAATACATATCTACTTTAGATAATCTGCAAAGTACAGAAAAAAAAGGAAAAGAAAAATATCACCAATTATTCTACCATTCTAAACAAATGATTGTTATCAGCACTTTAGTATATTACTTTCCAATCCTTTCTTTTGTTATATTTTTTCAACATATTGTGAAAATTTTCAAAATTGTAAGCAAGGCTATAAGATTTTGATATACACACCACCTAGCTTTCCATTAACTTCTTATTATACTTTGCTTTATCACTTGTTTATTCATCCTTCCAAACTTTTGCAATAGAGCTCAAATCATACTGCATATAAAATTTTATATCCTTATTAGAATATGTCCATGTAAGTAGCTCAAACTACGTTAGTTAATTAAACTAAGAATAGTCAACAAATTTATATGGCAAACAAGGACATTCAACAAGTCACAGAAAGCAGATTTTTGTTTTTAAATTCGAATTCAAGGTTGAGTACAGAGATGAAGCAAATTCAAGATGCAGGATGAGTTTTTTAGCATTCACTATACCTCTTTTTCAAAACTTTACATTAAAAGACGATCTTCAAAAATAAAAACAGCATTTGACCACACACACACAGGTAGAATTTCAAGAGTTTAAAACATGGTTTTACTTACTTTGTGATGACCGCCAAAGTGATTCTGGATATTGACTTGATTTCGTAGTTTGATCTGAAAAAACAAAAGAAATAAAGTGCACTATAAAGCATATTGTACTTTTTATTTTTTTATTTTTTATTTTTTTTAAAATTTTTTTTTCCCAAACGTTTATTTATTTTTGGGACAGAGAGAGACAGAGCATGAACGGGGGAGGGGCAGAGAGAGAGGGAGACACAGAATCGGAAACAGGCTCCAGGCTCTGAGCGGTCAGCACAGAGCCCGACACGGGGCTCAAACTCACGGACCGCGAGATCGTGACCTGGCTGAAGTCGGACGCTTAACCGACTGCGCCACCCAGGCGCCCCTATAAAGCATATTGTACTTTTTAAACGCATATTTTACTAAGAGAACAGTAAGTAATCAAAAGAACAAAAATATTCAGTAAAACCCCAGGGAATTCAACACTTGGGGCAGTGTTGAATATTTAATTTTTTTATTTTAAGTAGGCTTCATGCTCAGTGTGGAGTGCAACGCAGAGCCCAACCACCGAGGTGTCCCAGGAACACATTTTATTTTTTTTAAGTTTCTAAAGAGCCATGTTGTATCTAAAAACTTAACTAAATAATTATCTTTTCCCTGACGACTTTCTAAAGAAAAAAAATAGAAGATGTAGAGCATGACGTGAGGTAAGGAAGATAATGAAACCTTTGAGTTGGGGAACACTTTGAAAGTTTATAATGGATCTTCTTGAAATCATTAATACCCATTTTGCCTCAAATTTTTCTTGTAAATGGTTAATATGTTACATATTTTAGCCTATTCTTTAAAAACTTATTTTCATATAAAAGTGGAATTTATAACTAACTCTGTTCAAAAGTGATCAGATTGTTAACTCCGAAGTAAAAGCATTTGACACATCCAGGTGTGGCAGCTAAATATTTTTGTTAGTGTACTCCTATTATTAAAAAAAATTTGAGCATTGATCTAAAACATATTTCTTTTTAATTAAAAAAATGCTTATTTATTTTTGAGAGAAAGAGAGAGAGAGAGAGAGCGAGTGAGCATGAGTGGGGAAGGGCAGAGAGAGAGGGAGACAGAGGATCCGAAGCGGGCTCTGTACTGTCAGCACAGAGCCCGATGTGGGGCTCAAACTCATGAACCATGAGATCATGACCTGAGCCGAAGTCTGACACTTAACTGACTGAGCCATCCACGTGCCCCTCCAAAACATATTTCTAACATTAAATACGTGTGTTATTGAAATAATGTATTAACTAATGTGTTGTATCTACTATAAAACAAAAAGACATTTTAATTGGATGAAATAAAATATAAATATACATGAAATTCTAATATTCTCTTCTTGCATTCCAACAGATCTTTTTTTTTTTAAGTTTTTATTTAAATTCCAGTTAGTTAACATACAGTGCAATAGTAGTGTCAGATGTACAATTTAGTGATTCAACACTTCTACACAACATCTGGTGCTTATCACAAGTGCACTCCTTAATTCCCATCACCTATTTCACTCACCCCCCATTCCCTCCTCCCCTTTGGTCACCATCAATTCGTTCTCTACAGTTGAGTCTGTTTCTTGGCTCGCCTTTCTTTTTTTCTCTATGCTTGTTTCTTCTTGAACCTCTTCAAGGGATAACTGGCTCAGAAAATAATCTAAGAAGATCAGTATTCTTAATATGCTCCCTTTTTTCTTCTTTAGATAGAGTTTTCTTCTGCACGTGGGTATATGTGCTTCATTAAGAATTTATTAGAATTCTTAAAGGGATCACAGACCCTTCAGTGTATGAAGTTTCAAAGAGCTATATGCTGCTAGCAATAGCATCAAACTATTGGCTATAGGAATGGCTAAATTAGTTTTTAATTTTTAGAGCTTCATGTATACATATACCAAAACTAATAAGAACACTTAGTTTAGTGTTTAATATGTGACAGGTACCTTCTAGGTGCTTGCACATATGAATTAACCTCTTACCAACCCAGATGAGGATACTGAGGAACACAGACATTAAGCAATTGCCTGAGGGCACAAACCTAGTAGTGGAGGAGTGAAACCCAGGGATTCTGGCTCCAGAGCCCATGTTCTTAACCACTATGCTAGAATGGTGCATATCTCCTTTGGGATTTCTGTATCAAGAAAGAATGGGGAACAATGAGGAAGGGTGGGAAATATATAGAATACCAAATGCCCATAAACCAGCCTATGAGCCTATTTTTTAAATGGAATGATAAAGTAAAACACAGTATTATGGAAATTCTCAAAAGATGGTGAGGGGAAAATAGAGAATTACTCTTTCATGGGACTAAAATATAATATTATTCATTATTTACAGAGTTTCAAATTGGTTCAGCACCCTCTTAAGCCTCAATTGGTATTTTCCCCCCACGGTCAATTCTTTCCTTGAATAAACTTAAACACAAATTCACATGAACAGCCATAAACTGTTGCTACTAACTTGGTGTGAATTTGAACAATCCAGAAATAAAAGTGATTACCTAGGGATATTAAAACTTCCTAAGAGCTAACATCCCTGATAATATAAGGAATACCACTACCAATGAGATCGGCTTCTCTATAACATTTTAAACAAACTACAAATAACTTCTTTTGAGCACAAAAATATCTTATATTCCATAAATATCAAAGCAGGCTAAAAAGTGACTTATTTGTGGGGTGCCTGGGTGGATCAGTCAATTAAGCGTCCAACTTCGAATCAGGTCATGAACTTGCTTTTGTTGAGTTTGAGCCCCGGGTCGGGCTCAGTGCTGACAGCTCAGAACCCGGAGCCTGCTTTGGAATCTGTGTGTGTCTCTCTCTCTGCCCCTCCCCTGCTTGTGCTCTGTCTCTCTCTCTCTCAAAAATAAAGATTAAAAAAAAATTTTTTTTAAAGTGACTTGTTTAGATATTATATAGACATTACATGTTACTAATCAGATGCACACATGGAGTCAGTAATTTTAATAAATATTAAAAAGTATACTTTCTAAAAAAGTAGTTTTAATAAAATATCTTATGGAAATATTTTTTAAAAAAGTAAATTCACAAAATACCTTTAGATTTTTACTAAAAACACAGCTCCTAAGATAAAGTCATATGAATATGAAGATATGTTACCTCCAGAATCAAGAGAATCCCCGGATCTGACCTTAAGAATAGTAATATCACTGTCAGAGCTGTCTTGATCGTCTTGTTCAGTTTCTTCTAAAAAGAAAGAAATAATACACTAGTATAGTCTTTCTTCTAATGTTCTAAAGATCTAGATTAAAACAAGTAATTCAACATTAAAATGAAGCCTCTTTAATTATCAGACATAGAATCACTATTTATTACACTTACTATTCTGGATCACAAAGTTTTATATGAGCTAAAATTGAGCTCATTAATGTTATCTGAGGCATATAATTATATCTCAAGCAAATATTCTGAGTAATATCTACAAGATTATATTCTGAGGCTTTAATGTAAAGTCAAAAAGGAAACAAAGGAGCATTAATAGTGGAGAAATTTTACCTTTTTGGGGGGGGGGACTACATATAGTGTGTAAATTCAGCCAAAATTAGTGTATGTACATGTGTGTTTACATGAGTATCTGTGGTTGTAAAGGGGGGATGTACACACACACTCATACAAGCATTTCAGTATGCAGGTAATTAAGATTATGGTGGGTTTTAAAATGGACTAAGTTTTACTGTCCTATTCATAGACTGATTATGAGAATTTAGAAAAAATGATTATATTAATACCATAATCAAAGGCCAGCATATGCCAAAGTCTGTTTTCATTGGCTTTACTTAAAATTATTAACTCAGACAAAAGATGTTTAAAATGCATATAAAGGCTATCATCACTCACCCTATCCCATTTTATCTAAGACCCAATTATGAATTTAGATAAGCATGAACTTTTTTCCTGAAGAAAAATTTTCCTCTTTAAGTAACTATCAAAATTGTTCATGTTAATGAAAAAAAATTTAGAATATTTTAAAAGAAAATACCTCCTTCAGAAAAATTGGCCTTCTGTTGGCTGCTGGTGGCTTCTAGAAAAGAAAAGCAAACACATCATACATGACATCAAAAGCTAAAGCTTAGGAATAAACAATATATAACTATATAATATATAATATGTAATCTATAACATACAATTTAGGGAAGTGAACATAAAGACAGACCAACTAAAATTTTTCTTCTGTTAAATGTTAAAAAATATGTTATTTCCCTTTAGGTTATTTCAGAAATAAGTACGATACAACCTAGAATCAGGAAGAGTTCATTTTTCTTTCAGCCGCAGGTCCGTTTGTACTCTAAACTGTAACCTGTTTGTAGAACGCATGAGATTCTCCATTGATAAATATTCCAGTCCCTATAGGTTTACTGAATTCTCATTCTCCTATTTGCCACACTCCCCATGCTGTCTTGAGAAACCCATCATACTGGTGGAAAAGACAAATCAGTTCTTTACTGCACTAGTATGTCCAAAAGAAGAAAGGGAGAGAAACCCTAGCTCCAGCACATCCACGTACGCTATTTTTTTTCAGAGCCAGAGAATTTGGACAAAGATAAATGAGCAACGTGTATCAAACACAGTATTTTTATATAGGCTATACTGAAAAAAAAAAAATTTAAAGGGAGATAAACCCAAAGGCGGCATTGTACAACTGGGCTAAAATATTGCTGAGTGATCTTTTGAGAAGTGGCATGAATCAGACTGCTCACAAAGCTGAAATCTTTCTTTTCAGCTTTCCCTCTGTTGCTTTTTAACCCCTTTTGCTTTTCAAAAGGGGAAAACAATACCGTGGAAGGCAAGTGCCAACACATTATACGGTGAACTTGGAAATATTTTCTTCAGATCAGTTTAATTATATTAATATAACACTGGTCAAACTACCACTATGACAGGGGCAAGTGTAAATCACTATGTGAAATACATTTGCCAATATTTTTGGTATAGGAAAAAACTAACCAAAACAGCAAATACTATGTCACTCTTATAAAGCTAGGACCTGGTATATTATATTCCATTTTAATCTAGGGTCATAAGGGAAACTGTCTTTTCAATTTTCTTTTTCAAGCAGAAAAATGGAAAATCAAACTTGCCTTAGTGCTATTCTCTTAAAATTTTTTCATTAATATTTCCACTCATACAAAAAGATATCATTCCATAACACACATATTATCCCTTTTGTAGAGTTTATTTTCATTTATATAACTATTCACATAGCATCAAACAAAAGATGTTTTCTTAAGAGCCAATAGTTACGTCTTAGTCATTATCTTAATAATAGTTACTTCCTTGATATTTGCATGCTACCAGTTAGTTTTCAAAAAAACCCTTCATATCTGCTATCTGATTCCCTAATGTCACAAGAGGACTCTCATAGGTAAGGTTTATGGTATTAAGTGACGTGTCTAAGGGTATCAGGATGAACAAGTGATAAAAAAGGAATTGAATACAGGCTCTTCTGATTTCTAGTCCACCACCCATCTACCACTGCATCAGTCTTATTTATAATGGCATGTATTCAGCACTTAATGATAATTATTTTGTTTTATTAATTTTCTTTTAAAGAGCAGCTTAAGATTCACAGCAAAACTGAGGGGAAGGTAGATAGATTTCCTTTATGTTTCCTGCCCCACACATGCATAGCTTCCACCATTATCAACATCCCCCACTAGAGTGGTATATTTGTTGAATAGTGGTAAAATTGATGGATCTACATTTACACATCATGTTCACCCAAAGACCCTAATTTACATTACAGTTCACTCTTGGTGTTGTGCATTCTATGGGTTTAGACAAACATATAATGACATGTATCCATCATTATGATATCATACAGAGTATTTTCATGCCCTAAAAACCCTCTGTGTTCCACCTATTCATCCTTCCCCTACCACCACCACCATACCCTTGATGACCATTAATCTTTTTGTTTCTGTTTTAATGTTTATTTTTGAGAAAGAGAGAGACAGAACGTGAGCAGATGAGGGGCAGAGACAGGGAGACACAGAATCCAAAGCAGACTCCAGGTTCTGAGCTGTCAGCACAGAGCCTGACACGGGGCTCGAACCCACAAACTGTGAGATCATGACCTGAGCGAAGTTGGGTGCTTAACCGACCGAGCCACCCAGGTGCCCCAATGACCGCTGATCTTTTTACTGTCTCAATAGTTTTGCCTTTTCCAGAACAGTCATATAGGTTCCTCCATGTCTTTTCATGGCTTGATAGCTCAGTGCTTTATAGCACTGAATAACACTCCACCGTCTGGATGTGCCAGTTTATCCATTCACCTACTGACACGTTGGTTGCTTCCAAGTAGAATAATTCCAATAATTATTCCAATTATGAATAATTCTGCTATAAACGTGTGTGCAGGCTTTTGTGTAAACATTAAGTTTTCAACTCATTTGGGTAAATATCAGAGTGTAATTGCTGGATCATATGATAAGAATGACATAATGTCATGATGACATACAATGTAGGACATCTTTTCATATGCTCATTTGCCATCTGTATATCTGTTGTTGGGGTGTCTGTTAAGTCTAGCTCATTTTTTAAGTCAGGTTTGTTTTTTTTTTATTGTTGAGTTCTAAGAGTTCTTTGTATACTTTGGATAACTGTCCTTTATTAGATGTGTCATTTGCAAGTATTTGCTCTCAGTGTCTTATGTTTTTATTCTCTTGTCATTCTTTTGCAGAGCAGAAGTTTGTAACTTCACTGAAGTTCAGCTTATCAATTCTTTCATGGGTTGTGCTCTTTGTTTGCATCTAAAGAAGCATCAGCATACCCAAAGTCCTTTAGATTTTCTTCTGGGAGTTTTGTACATTTTTTTAAAAAAACTTACATTTAGGCCTGTGATACATTTTTAGTTAATATTTGCAAAGGGTTTAAGGTCTGTGTCTAGATTTTTTTTTTTTTTTTGCGTGTAGATATCCAGTTGTTCTAGCCATTTGTTGAAAAGATTCTGCCCTCCATTGTATTGACTTTGTTAAAGATCAGTAGACTACACGTGGATCTGTTTATGGGTTCTCTATTCTGTTCTATTCATCTATTCTTCTACCAATACCACACTGTCTAGATTACTGAAGCTTCACCGTCAGTCTTGAGGTTAAGTCCTCCTACTTTATTCTTCAATACTGTATCGGCTATGCTGGGTCTTTTGACTCTATATGAACTTAATCATTTTCTCAAAATAAATTGTTGGGATTTTGATTGGGAATGCACTGAATTTACAGATTAAGTTGAAAAGAACTGACTTCTTGACAATACTGAGTCTTCCTATCCATGAACGTGGAATATCTCTCCGTTGGTTTTAAGTAAATTCTTTGATTTCATTTATGACTTTTATAATTTTTCTCACATAGATCTTGTACATATCTTCTTAGATATACACCTGTAAGCATTTCGGTGGGGAGAGAGGTGCTAATGTAAATTGTGTTGTTTTTAATTTCAAATTTTTCTTGTTCATTGCTGGTATGTAGGACAGTGATTGGCTTTTTTATATTAACTTTACATTCTGCAACCTTGCTATAATTGCTTATTAGTTCCTATTTTTTGTCCATTCTTTTGGATTTCCTACACAGATGATCACGTTACCTGTGAACCAAGACACTTCTTCCTTCCCAACCTGTATACCTTTTGCTTCCCTTTGTCTTACTGCATTAGCTACATTGCTCCAGCACAATGTTGAAAAGAAGTGGTGAGCAGGGGCATCTATGCCTAAATATCCATTTAGGTTCCTTCATATCATACCTTGATGGCTTATTCCTTTTTAGCACTGATATTAGTACAAAAGCTTCCAGTGTCTCACCATTATGTTACCTGTAAGGTTTTTTTGTAGATAGTGTTTATCAAGTTGAGAAAGATTCCCTCTATTCCCAGTTTACTGAGAGTTTTTATCATGAATGGGTATTGGATTCTGTCAAACACTTTTTCTGCATCTATTAATACTATGTGTTTTTTTCTTTTTTAGTCTGTTAATATGATAGATTCTCAAATGTTGAGCCAGTCTTTCATACCTATGACAAATCCTGTTTGGTTGTAGCGTATTTTTTTTTTTTTTTTTTTTTTTTCAGTTTTAAAGTAATCTGTATAGTCAATGTGGAGCTTGAACCCACAACCCCAAGATTAAGAGTTATGTTCTTTACCAAGTGAGCCAGCCAGGTGCCCCTAATTCTTTTTGTAGTTTTTTAAAATTCATTTTGCTAATGTTTTGTGAAGTACGGCATCTGTTCATGAGATATTGATCTATAGTTTTCTTTTCTCATGTTTGTCTGGTTTTAGTATTAAGGGAATGCTGGCCTTACAAAATGAGTTAAGAAGTATTTCCTCTACTTTTATCCTCTGAAAGGTACCTTAGAGAACTGGTATAATTCATTTCTTTAAATACTTGATAGTATTCACCAGTGAACTCATTTAGGCCTGGTGCTTTCTGTTTTGGAAATTTATTAAATATTGAGTCAATGTATTTAAATAGATATATATGTATTTAAATAGATAACAGATTATCTATTTCTTCTTGTGTGTTTTAGCTGATTGTGTCTTTCATGGAAAGGGTCCATTTCATCTAGATTATCAAATTTGTGGGCTTCAACATGTTCATAGTATTTCTATATTATCCTTTTAATTTTCATGAAATCTATACTAATTTGTGTCCTTTTACCTTAGTTTATCTCTTTTCTTTTTTTATCCTTAGCCTGGTTAAAGGCTTTCCCTTTGAATGATAATTCTGCAAGATACAGAATTCTAGGTTGGTGGTTTTTTCCTCTCACACTTAAAATCATTCATTCCACACTCTCTTCTCACTTGCATGGTTTCTGAAGAGAAGTTGGATGTAATTCTTATCTTTGTTCCTTTATGGGTCAGGTGTCTTCTCTTCCTCTAACTTCTTTCAGGTTTTCTTCATCTTTGATTTTCTGTAGTTTGAAAATGATAAACACCCAGGTGTATTTTTTGTGCATTTATTCTGCTTGATGTTCTCAGAGCTTCCTGAATCTGTGGTTTGGTGTCTGACATTAATTTGGAGAAATTCTAGATCAT